ATAATAATTTATATAAATAAATTATTTTTTTTTTTTTAAACAATTATTAATAAATTTCATTAAATTTTACCATATTACGAATATTTCAAAACAATTATACATAATAATAATTATTATTATATAATATTGATAAAATGACAAAAACTTTAAACTACTACAATTGTACAGCAGGAATCAATTTACGATTTGTAAAGATAAATGTCTACAAACCAAAGACGTAGCGGCTAATTTAATTTCATTGCGAGAAGCAGCTCGCTCCTTTTTTAATATAGGAGGATATGATTGGTGTACTTGTACACAGAGTTACAAAACAAGTAAATGTAATTATAGAAAAGCAGACAGATTATATAATTTCAAGTGCCATGCTTCTAAATCTTGTGCAAATAAATAGATAATAATAAAATTATAATTTATAGGTAATAAAAATAAGACGATAATATTTGTTAATTTTTTTGTGTTATTCCATCAAAATATTATCGTAATATTATGATAGAGCTCGGTAATTGTAGGAATTGCATATTGTTCTGTATACTCTCAATTTATAGCAAACCTGTATATTTCAATTAATAATAAATATAAAACTTATAATTTTCAATAAAGGTATTTATCGCATTTTTAAAAATATTGAAAAATTAACATTGGTTCATAATTTCACATTGCCCATAGGCCGTAACATATAACTTAAACATTGTAGGTACATGTGTGACAAATTATTCGAACACTAATAATAGTTGACAATAAAATATACCCAAGGAGTTGAATAAAAAATATTTTAAATATTCATAACTCACGAGATTATTTGAATCGGCTTTTGAAGAAATAAAATATTTTAAAAAGTTTGTGATTGATTCTAGTTTTTTTATGTAAGGAAAATTGTTACCTATCTGCAAAAACGCAAAAACGACTTTTATGTTACGTTATTTTGTGAACATAAATTATTCAAAATTCAATCATATCATCATGAGTTATGGGTTCTTATGTAGATATATCAGCTAATTAAACTATTTAGTCAAAAAGAAATATTATTTATTTGTATTCTAATCTGTTAATTTGCATTAATTTTATAAAATCAATGTTTTTTTATTAAGTAATAAGTAATTTAGATTTAACAAAAATAATATATTTAGTACCTAATGAAATTAAATTATATTTAATTAATTATAAATTTTATATATTAATATAATTTTATAAGCGGCTAGAAAAAAAGAACCTTAAAAAACTTAAATTTACAGACTAATGCTCTTAAGATACCCTTGACGGCATTTTAATATTAATAAACATTAGAAAAATGTTAGTAGGTACAATTTTATTTAGCTTATCAAGATTTTTTTAGTCTAATTATTAATTAGAAACTTTATTATTATTATTATTATAATTAATTGCTTAGATATAAAAATTACGATTTTACCTTAAAAATAATCGTATAGGTATTACAATATTGTTATGAAAAGTGTAGTGTAATAAATATTTTTTAAATCGTTTTATAAATTGTCTAATAATTAAAAATAATTTTAAAACATAATATAATCGGTAATAAATATTAAAGTTGATAACTAAGGCTTTGAATTTGATGACCTAAACATTTTTAAAAAATGCACTCAAAAAAGTATTAAAATAACTTATTAACATCGAAAAATGGCTTAAAAAATTACCCTAAAAATACCAAAAAATTACATAACATTTTCAAAAACTACGTTTTTTAATAATAAATCATTGTTTTAAAATTAATATTTTTAATCATTTATTTATTATTTTTTTTATCTGAACTTAAACAATGCTAATATTTTTGTACATTAAATATGTTTTTTTTATAGACTTTAGACGTTCTAAACTAAATTTAAAACGGACATGAGAAATAATGTCAATAATACAAAATAATTACAAAAAATAAAAGAAAATCGATATTTTTAGAAAAATAGTTGAAGGATTGGGCTGTACAATACGTTAGTTTTTTCAATTATAAAAGGAAAATATAAAAAATACAAGTTTATCTACAAAAATGCGAAAAGGCATCAAAATCACTAAAAAATGACTGTTTAACAATAAATTAACGAAAAATGCAAAATAAAAATGGTTCCATTGAATTTTACATAACAATAATATAAGTCACATTTCTGTAAAAACAAGCCTCGTATAAACACATTAGAAAAAAGATGCAAATGCATAAGTTCTGAGCCTTATGGATAAACTACAACCTATATTTAGTATAGTTAATTAAAAAATGATTTGTATCGATATTTGTCGATTTTATTTTTAGAATGTGGTGTATTATTTATTGAAACAGGCATAGATGAAAACATGCAATTTATCACACTCCCTGTAATACTTGACTATCACAACAAAAATAGTACCAATAGTATTGGTATCCAATCAAAGATCATTTATTATCAGTCATTTTTTGTCTCTTTACTTTTCGTGATATGTTATTGTTCCCTGTCTTTTTTTATCATATAAATATCTTAAATAAAAACCTTTTAAACAGTTTTGCTAGTTTGTATTCTAGTTTAAAATATATTTCAACAATTTTCTTTGAAAAATGAAAATACTGAAAATGTGTATTTTATTGTTTGAATTGTAATATATGTGTACTGTATGTAACAAGATATTACTATAATTGAATCTAATAAAGTAGTATGTTCTGAAAAATTCGTGAGGTATTTGGTGAGATGATTATTGAAATTGTCAAGTTGTAAATGTCTATAAAAAAATTCTATACTCTAGATGTCTTAGATGTCTATCTAAGAACAAATCATTAAAAGTATGTAAGTATATCCCACATTCTTGAATACAAACAAAAAATATACATCTACTCGACACACAGTCCAAATTTTCAGTGCATTTAATAAAATGCAAGCAGAATCACCCGGTTTCGCTGGTGTGTATTTTTGTCGATAAATTTCTTGGAACAATTCATATCTACACGCTACACGGCCAGTATGAATATAGGTTGCAGAATGCATGTAGCTGAAAACCCGCCCGGCCAGTCACTGTGCTGCACAATACGTATTAATTAACAAATAATTGAAATTATTAATTAGACCACTTAAACGCAACATTTTTTTAAAATCCTTTCGTATTGCACGGTGAAAGTACTAAAGGAACTACTATTCCAAATTTCAAGCTCGTAGGTTGAGTAGTTTTCGAGATATAGCGATCAGTGAGTGAGGTATTTGGACTTTATGTATAATATAGATATTATGGTAAACAAAGATAACGATTTTTTTAAAATTTTATCATTGCTTTATACCCTTTAATTCTTATAATCGCCAGTAATAATTATTTTTGAAAAATAAATGGGGACATTTTTGTTTTAAAATATTTTAGTATTGACTTAAAGCTCGAATTTGTAAATAACTTAATTGCAAAGTATACATATAATATCATGCAAAGCATGAAAACGAACAACGGTAATAGCTGCGGGAAAACCGCGAGTAACAACAATAATGATATTATAATATTGTAGGTAGCTTGTACGTACATATTACAAACGCGCATACGACATAGTTATCTGTATAGCTATTTCAAAGTTTTGTGCGAGACACAAGTTGGCGGCAGTCGGGCGAGTTATCGTACACGTCATCGCTCTGTCATTTCGGGGTTTCGAACGAATTTACTCGTGTATTTACGTATACCTCTACGCGTGCACGATATACCTGTATGCCGCAACAATGTTGATACTTGTTATTATTATACGATGTCTTTACATAGTCTATAGATATACATGTAATAATAATAATAATTCGTAACTCGGGCGTCACAACTGATAACAGATTCCTCGTCGATTTCAATCAAATATAATATAACATAATATACCTACCTAGATGTTGTAAAACACACCGACCGCAACGCGGGGTTGAGGTCCGCGTCATTCCAGTGGCGGCACACGCCAGTCAACAACAGCAAAAGCAGCACCAGTCAACTCTGTGAGTGACAAACGATCTATGTCCGCCTTTACCTTAACAACCATCTATATTATACATAGCACACACACACACACATTATACTCGTACACGCGCGATACGACTTTTGAGGACTATTTATCTGACCATCCTCACCCGCCCGGACCTGAGACGTGGATATTTACCCGTATTATTATTATTATTAGAATACATATTTTGAAAACGCAACGACAATAAAATAATGTCAAACGATATTTCATTAACGACGCAAATGTGATCTGCAGACGTTTGATCCTGAAAATATTCGTCCGTCCTCGGCTCAAACGAATGTCCTCCACTTCTCCTGTCACAACCGCTGGACAATCTACAAACGAGCAATACAACGAAATATTCACTGACGTAAAAATCAATCACTCGCCTTTTACAAACGATATCTATTATTATTGTTCGTATTTTCTATATGAAACCTTTGGTACGCGTATATATAGTAATTCAAATGATCGATGATCAATTTTTTTTTTTACTTGTGAGAATAAATCAGATTTCTACTAGCGCATAAATAACAAGTGTTTTCAATAGCCTATTATACATAATATATTCGTAATATGTGTATATTTGTATAATTTGGTCAATTTAAATATCAATAAAGAAACCGAAACGGATACAAAAATAAATGTTTAAACATTAGGTATTTACGTTTTAAAACCCAAATTCTGTGGATATTTAAATTTCATCTGTTGTAGTATGTACTCGCATGTTAAAAATCATTAAATAATAAATATGACGTCATTGTTATATTAAGAAGTGTATATTATAATATTATATTTTATACATTTAAATTGTATGGAAAATAAATATGTCTGTAATTTATTTGAATTAATTGTACAAATTAATAGAATACAACAAAACAGTAAAATCAGCTAAGCAAAATAAGAATAATAGATAAATAATAGATATAATAATTATATTATACTATACCAGATAATATATTAAAACTTTATGGTTTTTTTTTTTTTTTTTTTTTTAACTTGTATTATTCTCTGCGATAATATTATTATAATATATATTTTAAATCTTTATGTTAATGTTAATTTCAGTGACATGGTGATGGGTGAGGGTGACGGAGATATGGAAGGAGGAGGTGGTGGAAACGACGAATGTGTCGACGATGGTGATGAAGAGTTAGTAGCAATGATGCCTACGACGTTTTGTGGCTCTAACAAGTGTAAGAAAATTAGGAGACCTTTGCCACCTCGAGAGACGTGGAAGAAGAAAATTGAATTTTTATTGGCGGTAGTCGGTTTTGCTGTTGATTTGGGAAATGTATGGAGATTTCCTTACATCTGTTATCAAAACGGCGGAGGTAAATAATATTTTTAATTTTTTAATACTTTACAGATTTAAGTTCTGAAATATACCTGCTATATTAAAAATTAAATACATTTTTCAATGAACTGTTTATATTCTAAACTATGAAGAATCAAACTTATAATATACACATTATAAACTAAAGTATCTCTATGATTTTAAACATGGCTATTATACATTTTAATGAGCTTTAGGGTTTAGGTTTTTTTAACATAACATTATTAATAGAAGGAAGTTAAAGTTTAAAATAATTATTATCATATACGCTCGATTATTTGAATTTATCGAGACATATTTAGTAGGTACAGTGATCAAGGTCTTAGAGATTAGTTTATGGTTATTATCTTTATCGTACTTGAATGAAATACATTTTCGGAAAGACAATTTATAAATAAATACAAGTCGACAATTCAACTTATAATTATTAAAGCATTTAATTCGTATATTTTGTTTAATATGATGTATACGTATAAGAGATAGATTATGTTTTACAAATTTAACTAATATTAGATATTTTGAGTAAATTTTTTAATTTTTGACTTTCAGTCATTATTGATTTGTTGATTATTGTTAAATATAAATACAGTTAAATGTATTGGAAAAAATAGTTTTCAATAAATTCTGTATTAAAAATTATAAAATTTTTAACTAGACTTTTTCACTCCAATAATTCCACCATCCTTGTTGTCTTAAAAAATATTGGTGCTGTGATCTTTTAAATTAGATTAAATTAAATCAAGTTCTGAAAGGTTCTATTAATGGATAGTCACTCTTATCAAAGTATTCTAAATTATAAATGTCTATAAATCTTTGGATTTACTTATTGTGCTATGTAAATATAGATTATAAGTATTTTAATAAAAAATAAAAAATTACTAGACTTTAGATGTTTTATTTGAGTGCACTTAGTTTATAATGTTTATATTCTGTAAATATGTATAAAATAGAAATATTAAAAATTATGAAAATATTTTTTTGTTTTATTGTAATTGTAATGATATTTTGTTTCTGGTTATCGGCAAAGTAATACATTATTAGTTGTAGTCTGTGTGTCAGCTAGACAATACTAGCTTAGACGTAATGTTTGTCAAAAATGTAATTATTTTTTATAGCTGAGATCCCAAATTATTAATTAAACTAATAAGTAAGTTACTAATTTAATGAAATTTACGATTTTATTAAGTTAGTAATTGTTAATTACCTTATTACTATTATTTATCTAATCTAAATGTTAAAAAAAAAAAAATTAAAAAATAAAAACATTAAAATGCAATACATGCAACTATATTTATATAAAAATTAATTAATTAACTATTTTTGTAACCAAGTAAATTATTTAATTTTGACCCGTTTGTTTTTTATCGCTATTAAATGCAATAAGTACTTGATTATTTTGAAACCTTTAGAATTTCAAAAAAATAAAAAAATCAACCCGAGTGTTGTAATATTATTATAATGTAAGTATACATAATTTCACTAAAAATCACATGTTATAATATAACAATTTAATTAAAATTTTAGCCAGGATTCAATTATTCAGAACCGATAGTTATACAAATAATTTTATAGTAAATCAATGTTTTTATGTGATATTTAGTTAATATTTACATGTAATAATAATTGTTTGGTTAATAAACAAATAAAATGTAATGTTGCGTTCTCGTTTAAAACTATTTGATAATAATTAATAAATCTCAGAAAGAACACGAATGGATTGATTGTTGTGAAATGAGTTTATTTGGTATTTCCCAACGCGAAAACCACATCTATTTACCCAAATCCGTTACGTTTAAAAGGAAACAATAGTATTTTTGCTGCCACTATTTTAATTATGACAACAATGGTTTATATGCATTTCAATATTTGAGATCAATATATAATATGTTATATTTCTCTGATTTCTAAAGACCAAATGCACTTTTATAGTTTTATAAAATTAATATGTTAAAATATATTTCTTAATCGGTACAAGCAAGGTGGTTATCTGTTTGATCTATTGACTATTGTTAAAAATGCAAAACGCAAACATTGGAACGCTCTGTTGTATTGAAAAATAAGTAAATCTCGACGTAACATAATAGACTGAGATTGAATGCAAATAACGTACTTACTGTTGCGTTTAAAAAAAAAAAAATACCATTTATAAAATGCAAACAACTATCATTCAATCCAAATAATAAATAATAATTAAATCCAATAATGACGTTAAATTACTATTGTATAAGTTATAATTTGAAATTATAATTGGATTTGCAATTATTTTAGTATAAATTATCTTTTTGTGTTAAATTGTAATGTTTTTATTGTAAATAAATATAATCATTTAATTTACTTATTTAGGTGCGTTTCTTATACCGTACGTGGTAATGTTGGTATTTGGTGGATTGCCTTTGTTTTACATGGAATTGGCACTAGGACAGTTCCATCGATGCGGATGTCTCACAGTGTGGAAGAAGATTTGCCCGGCTCTAAAAGGTAGGGTATTTAAATGTTCATATCCCTTATCAGAAACAACTCGTGGAATGCTTTGAAAGCGTACAATAATGGAATGTTCTACAACAAAACAATTTGCTTGGAGAACTATCAATTTAGAAATAGGGATAGTCTGCAGTAATGTACGTCTTAAATCAATGGTAAAGAAGGAAGGGAATGAGAAAAAAAGGTTTTAAGAATCGAAAATACTTAAGATGAATATCCGCTCTTTTATGATAATTGAACGATAATCTGCTGTATTGGCTGGAACTTTTGTTTTTTATTCTCTTGTTTTCAGTTGCATTAACAGTAGCTGCACAAAAGAGTAACTAGGAAATTAAAAAATAAAGGCACAAAATAAAGAAAAGAGAATGCAAGGACGCTGGGAGAGAACGGGAAAACAATTGATTCTTGAGAGCATTTTCAAGTCTACGACAAACATTGAGTCTTTGAATTATACATTAAATGCAAAAATGTGAAACAAATAAACCGATAGAGCTTATTTAAAACGATTCAGCGAGCAATAAATTATTAGCCAATAAGGAAATATTATAGGATTGCATCAAATATTTAGTTACTTTACTATGTTATTTGTATTTGTTTAGTTTTTTCCGTATAATATCTGTTGTTAGAGTTTTTAGCTATTGTATTCAGAGATCTAATAATTTATAATAGAAATATATTCTCTTCTAAACATCTAAACAGGTAATTGGCTCGTAAATAAAACTGAAACATGTTTTAAAATATTGATAATATTAATCCTAGAAGAATTAGTTGTTATTATTGACAATTCAATGATTTTAAACTCTAATCTTATTTTAGCATGGCTTACATAGTGATAATATGACTGTTCATTATAAATTATAATTAGTTAAAGTTGTATAGTATAAATATTTAATAGTACACTAATATGTCTGTAGCGTATTATACTGATTAATTTGAATTATTTTTGTTTAAAATTTTGGTCAATCAAACATGAAAATAGACAAAAACAGATAAAAAAAATAACATTTATCTTTCTTGATTATTACAATTGATTAATACACGATTTCAATATGTTTATGGTTTGGCAATCGAAATCAAAATATTTACTTTGTTGAAAAATCTGTTTTACGAATAAAAGTAATAAGTTATACGTAATACATATACATATTAATTTATTTACTAAAAAACAAACCAAGATATCCTATTGCTATGCTTAATTATTTAAATCATAATCAATACATCTGTGTAAAATAATATTAATAGGTTAATTTTTGCCTTTAACGAAGTTTCAAGTTCAAAAAATGATTTATTATATAATTTAACTGCGGAGGTAGTATTTCTATAGCATAAATAATAATATAATTCATTATTTTATGTAAAATTTAATTGATCATTGTTGTGCTCACTCAATTTGAATTGAGGGCAATTCATTTGGTCTAATAGATATTATGTTACATCATGTCACGACATATTGTAATTATGTGAAAATTAAAAAAATTTTCGTTGTTTTGAATTTCTGCTACAGTTATGATGAAAAAAAAAAAGCTGAATCGTGATTTAGGAACACGGTCTGACCTTAAGCAATTTACCATTGTCAATATTGACGTTCACAATATAACAACTGTTTTGTGTGACCACCACCACCGTTGTGGTGCTTGATCGACTGCTGCTGTAGCGCATCCCTATACGACAAATATTTACATGCCATCGTACTTAAGCCATGATATCGTGTAACGTTATAGTAAAAATTATGTAGCAGTATTGTGAAGCGACTGCTAAAGAGAAAAAAAGTATAATATATAATTAAATAGCAGCAAACCGTTTATTCCATATAATACCATCACTACCCTTGTAAACAGTCGTCAATTTCTTTCAGTTATTCAAAAACAGAGTGTTTGTTCTATTGTTATAATTTATTTTTTTTACGTTTCCATTTTGATTTTCACTCGTCATTATATCGTTCTTTGCTACGTGTCCATACGTGATTTTTGTTGTACTCGTTATAAGGATAATTTCAAACGTGCGTTGTCGGTAGCACGAGGTAAAGTAATGATTTGGCCAATAATGAGAAGTCGGAAAAAAATTGTCATAGTCTTATAGGTTTATGCCGATTTTATTTGGATCATCAATTTTTGCTTTTCACCGTTAGCAAACTATATTGTTCCAATTTATGATATTCGCAATATTGAGAAATTACTCCGGGTAATGATAATACGATTTAAAAAAAAACTTTTACGAACGTGTTAAAACACAGTTTTGTTATTAATTTATCTTGCCGTTTTGATAGAATACTAAGAACTCCATTGGTCTGGTTTTTATATCAATTTATGATTATTTTTTCCTATGAACATTTAACGCTTAACAACAATTCGTTAGGTAAAAGCCAGCAACGCTTGGAATCAATAATTATAATTTTTAATTTATTATTTTGTTATTATTATTATTATTATTTTTTTTTTTTTATGTCACCTACTTTAAATTTAAATTGTTTTCTAATAGTAAAAATAAGCAAACACACATAAAAAACATTTCTTTCATATAATTCTAGATAGTAATTGACTTGGTATAATTAATTAACAAATTATGATTTTTATTCATAATTTTATGCTTAATAAAAAAAATTATGTGTTTATAGTGTAGTTCTAAACTTGATTTTTTATATAAATATATAATTAATAAAACGAGTTTTTTATTTAGTAGTTGGAATCGATTTTTTTTTTAACCAAAATCTAATTTTTAAGTACCAAAAATACTACTTTTTGATTAAAATAAACTTATCATAAAAATCAAATTAAAAATTTATACTATAAAACAATTGGATGGCCTATACATGGTTTACTATTATTACATATTTTTTTTACCATAGTAAATATTAGCCATAAACAATTGTATATTATTAATCATTTATTCGATTAATATTCAATACACAAAAAAAAAATTATAAAATTAATTTTACTCTTATCTTATTTAAATAGACATTTTTTGGTCAATATACAACCTAAGATGTTTTACACTGTTCATATTTATTTTCACTTAAAAATTGTAAATAAATTATGAGTAGGAATTTTAAAAACACTTTAAAAATATTAACTTTTAGGTGTTTCAATTGTCTATAAGAAAGTTATAAAAATAAGACAATAATAATGAAACTTATTGAAAATTATACAGTTCAAAACTAAAAAAAAGTCTTTTTATCCTTAAGAATATTTCAAAGTTTTGTTACTTATAATAATGTATAATTAAAATATGTTAATTCATTGATATCTTATTTACCAACTGGATAACATATATTTAGTTATTTATTGAACAGATATGAAACCAAAAAATTACTTTTTGTATTAATCATCATAGTAGGTACAGTTTTTATTTTCAAAGAATTTTTCTGATCGAGTAAATTGTTACTTAATGACATTTAATAGATAAAAAAAAATGTTATTAATAACCAGGACTTGTAAGTTCGTGCACTAAAAAATGTATAGATAAGCATGCAATAATGCACTAAAATGTGGAAAATATGAATTAAAGTTTGCATTGAAAAGTTCAGTAATATGAATTTATATCACTAAAAATTTAAAAATGTGCATTTAAAATTTTAAAGTACGTACAAAAAAAATTAAAATAAATTTATACCTTATCGATAAAAATAAATTTATAGAGGTACGCATGTGATTGGAAGGAGAATGGTAACGTAATAACATTATTTCAGTGGTAGGTACAACGTGAAATATATAAAACTCAGTGTCATACAAAATAAAAATAAACTGAAAAATACTAAAATTTTGTAAATATGTTCGGAAAAGTAAAGTATATTAGAAAAAATTCTAGCATTTATTCGTATAATATTTTTATTATATAATACCTTTCATGAAAAACAATTTTATTGAATTTAGATGAAATAATATGCCCTAATATCCCCTCCTACCCCCAAAAAAATCAACAATATGCCAAATATGCTCCAAAGCCCAAAATATTAAACTTTATATTTTTATTACTATTGTTATGAAATGTATTTGTAACTCACTTAGCATGTTTTTCAATGTAGCAAAAAAAACATGCGAATGCATGAACTTACAAGCTCTGTTAATAACCAATAGATCTTATTCAGAATAATTTAATTCACGGGTTGGGGTTTAATTTCCAGAACATTCATTTAGTCTCGTGGCATCTGTTGTTTTACCTTCTTTCAGCAGGTGTTCCGTAATCCATTTCGGGTAAAATATGATTGTGAAAATTTTATTTATTAATTTTTATATAATGTTATCGCATCGATTTTTTACTGATTAAAAAATAGTATAATATTGAATTTTACATATTTTTATTAGTAAATAAATTCAATTTATTTATTAATAGCTATAAATTATTCAAATAAATTGCATAATTTTATAACACCTGTTTTATAATAAACTAAAACTTAAAATATAAGATTTTTATAATTTTTAAAAAATATCAATTATTCGTCGGTATACGATACAATTAATTTTTTTTTTTGCTCAAGAATTTATTTCCAATTAATTTCAGGTATTTTATGATATCCTTGGTTTATTAAAACTCTTTGTAAGAATTCATTTTTGAAATAATCAATCATAGTTTTAGTTTGCTACGGTTTTAATAATATTGTTTTCAATTAGTTTCATTATTGTCATGGTTTGTATTTAGTTTTCCTTCAAAACAGAAATTATTACATATTATGATATTATGCATAAAACGCTGCATATTATAGAATTGGTCATTGTAAGTTCTATGTAAACTTTCTATTTCATTAGTGATTCTTAAAAATACAATATTTTTTATAAATAAGCAGACCAAATTAAATTAATTAAATATATTAACAAGTTAATTATCTATTGATTCTATTGTAAATTAACAAAATAATTAGTTACTAAGTTACCGTGTACTTTGGATTTAACGATGGCTCTTATGCCCAAAGAATTAGTGGAGGTGATGAATCATGTTTAATGTACTCACGCAGTTAGCTCGTAATCCAAAAAAAAACTGTTTACGTCTAAGTTTGGACATAATGCCATCATTTGTATAAAAAATGCATTATCGACGTTAGTGGAAAGAGGAAATAGCAAATCAAAAAATAATTTTTGTCATTGATTTAATTCATCATCATTGTTTTTATATACACCCTGTAATTTTGATTCTCCATTTATCTGTGAGCTATATAAATATTATTATAATAATTAGTAGTAAAAAATAAAAGTACGGAAGTCAAAGATAATTGTTCATATAAAAGTTTAAGAAAAAAATTATTAACAATAAATATTTATTATATTTAATTATTTAATTCGTATTTATTCGTATTTCTTACTTTTATTCATCAAGCTTGGACTATATGAAAACAGAAAGTTTTAAATATTTCTTTTGCTGCTTTGTAAGCACCGATTTTGAAGTTAAAATTTAACTTTTGAACATTAAGAGATTGACATATTTTCAAGGAATATTTTCACATTTTAATCTAAATTTATTTTAGGTAATAGATGCATAAATTTATGTATGTGTATTGAATATAACTGTGAAAAAAATTTGGTCGTAATGTATAAGTAGGCGCTATCTACAAAAAGTTCTATTTGTTTCGACATAAAATTTAAATTTTGACTTGTTGTAATATAAACGAAGTCGTTAGTTACAGGAATAAAAAAAAATTTATTACTTTTAAATAAATATAAATCATAATTTTTCAAATTCTTCAATTGCGATATAGCTGTATTATTTTGTACTGTTTTCTCTTCTTGTAATAAATCGCCTTTTGCACTTATGTGATATCATTGTATGTAATGTTTGGTACGTCACAATTGAATAACTTTGTTAGTTAATTCGAATAATTGTTAAAGGTCTTGCAGATGTATTTTCTTTAGTTTTTCAAATTTATCTTATAATTTTTTACTTATTATTACTAAGATAATAACGTTCACCATTTGATGCATGAAAAAAGTTATCATTTTTTGTTAAAATACTAGCATTAAAATTTTTTTTGGAATATTTCTATTTTATTTATGCGTCAATGCGTTTTTTTTAAAATTAATATTTAAAATTATTTAGTAACTTAAGTTATTTTTCATGTTCAGACGTTATAATTTTCAAGTTTTCTATTACGGAACCAATCAGAGCATCATTACTTCTATCCATCAAACCACTAAATTTGAATATGACTTATCCAAAAATGACGACTTTTAACAATATCAATAATTACTTACAGTAGAATATCGATTACATTAACATGATATCCTATTTATTATTTTTTAATTGCTATAAATATTTATAGGTACAAGAATATGAAAAATTAAAATAAACGACAGCGTCGGTCGAAAAATCGTTCACAATAATCATTTGCTTATACACACTTTATATACAAACGATTATTTTTTAAGCTTGCTTCTTTAAGATATCAATTATAGGTCCAATATGTGACTAGCAACCACTCCCAAATACGAACATCGAAATATTTTTACTTCCTGAAAGATGATAACAGATAAAAAAAAAATACACACATTATTATAAATTCAATACATTCATCGCTTCGCTAAAAAAAATATAAAATCATTGAAACTCTTAATAATTGGAATTAACCGTTTTTCTCTTTAAAATAAATATTATGTTATTTTTAAAATGTATTTAAGTGTAAATATTAAAAGTGAAAAACTTGAGTGTTTCCTTTCACTTTATATTTCAATGTAATTACGTTTTTCTTGTATTTAATTTTTTCATGTTTGAATTTTCTAAATAAATTTTAATATTAATTTGGTAAATTATTCATTTTCGAGTTGCAGCATTTGACTCAAAATCTGGAATCAAATGAATGTTGTGAAATTAAACTGACGATACTATTTATCTGTAATTCAATCATTAAGTCATATTTTCGAACGCGCGTCGTATTTCCATAGCTATTAATTCGATTCTAGTGAAGATGGCCATATCTTTGGTGTTTTACTAATAAGTATTTGCAATTAATGATACTATTCACAAACAAGTCCCTTATAACGAATACAGTGAGATAGCTATATCGGTCGGCTGGAGATGTCAATTTGAAACATTGTTCGAAAAATCAATCAAAATTGAATTCCACCATATACACTGTAACTGTACAACTTCATCAGTACGTATGTGTACTCTTATTATTAACATCAGTCTCACTTTTAACGTAGAATTTCATATTATTTACATCAACCAACATTTTATTATACATTTTGAAACGTATATTACTATAGCAGTCGTTTTTTAAAATGTAAGTAGAAGTTAATACTTATTGATTACATACAATATTATTAAGTGCAGATATTACAACTGCAATTCATATAGTAAAATAAATGAAACTGGATATAATTTATTTTCACAGCTTTGTGTTCCCTAGTCATAGCATAATTTTAATTTCATAATTTAGTGTGCAAATAAATGGAATGAGGAATGTCAACAATTTGTTTTCGTTATTTTAAACTGTTTAATTTATGATATTATTATAGCAATGAAACTGAAGTATGTAATTTTTATATATTTGCATACTTTTGTATACTTTTTAAGAGGTATTTTATTGTATTTTTTATAATGGTTGAGTCATTTTCAAACTTTATATTAATTTCTTTAATAACGAATTTTATAACTAAATACACGAAATACGTAGCATAGATATGTAATATCATATAATTTCCGGATATTTTTGTTAGTTAATATTGACATTATATCTCGAATAATATATTATTACATTTTTACTGAAGATTTCACTTTGACTAAGGTATAGATATTTTTTTATGAGTTATATTATTTATATTTTCTGTATATAAAATTGACACAAACAGTTATTAGCTTTTATTACATAATAAGTATATGAATACATTAATTAAAATGGTTTTAAATTATTCTGAATTATTTAAGTAAGTTGTCATTAATCCATTTCTGCAGTAGTTTCCAACCTTATTTTTTATGATCCCTCGTAAATTTTCAAAAATCTTACACCCCGTCTTAAATTAAAGTTTAGAAGATTTTTTTTTTTGATTTTTTTTTTTTTTTTAGTGATACAATCTAACAACCAATTTATTTTTTTATAATTTTAAAAATAAAATATAAATCAGCTTGCTAATTAATCATATTGTTTTTATAATTTTGAATACATTAATTTTATAAATATTTGTATGTTAAAAACTATAAATAAATTAAATTTAATAAGTAGTATGGGATTGTTTTTTTTTTCTTAAAAAATCCATAATCCGAGGTGATATTTTTGTAACGAACAACGCATATCATTTTCCACATTTAACTGATTTCTTTGTTTAATTTTTATTTATTTAAGTACGGAAAACCCAAACTCACAGAGATTTCATCATCACTTTATTACCTCAATGTAGTATCTAAACCTCTCTGCCGGTTGGGAGCCACTGTATTATTGGTATAATTATAAATATGAACAAATTATTATTGTGTAATTTTGATAATTCATTCAAATTTTTTTCTATTTTCAATTATTGGGCTATAAATATAATAATTACGTAATCATTTTTGCCGTTTAAGACAAAATAATGTATTAAATTTTCTAATACAAATAATTTTAAAGTCTGTTTTCAGAAACGTGACATAAAAAATACGTCTTTATTATTTCTGAATACTTATTATTTATTCAGGTGTTGGATATGCAATATGCCTAATCGATATGTACATGGGCATGTATTATAACACTATAATCAGTTGGGCGTTATATTATCTGTTTTCGTCGATGAGATCCGAACTACCTTGGACCAATTGCGACAACCCGTGGAATACGTTGAACTGTACACCAGTGACTAATTTGTCGGGATTTACAAACTTTTCAACGAGTCCGGCTAAAGAATTTTTCGAGTAAACTAATTTTATTTTATTAAACATATAGAACAACGTAAGATATGAATATGTTCATAAATAAATGTAATATATATCACCATGTATGGTGTATAATATGTATATTATATTATATTATATATTTTTACCTATATACTCAAAGTATTATAATTTTATTATAATATTAGGTAACTATGTATAATGATAAGTGAAAATTGTTTACAGGAGAAGTGTTTTGGAACAGCACAGAGCTGATGGGTTGGATAGAATCGGACCGATAAAGTGGTCGTTGGCGTTGTGCTTGTTGGCCGTATTTCTATTGGTGTATTTCTCTTTGTGGAAAGGAGTAAGGAGCACAGGCATGGTAAGTATTGTCATTTAAAACTGTTTCACCGGAACGCCCACGTGGGCACAGATACAAACGATTATTGATTCCGTCCTCCAGCCATGACACCATGTGTGGTTTTATACCACATAGGTGCGTAAACGTATAAATTACGTATATAGTTTATTAGCTGAGGTTAAAAAAGAAGAAAATAATAGAAAAGAAAATAAATTGAAAAAAATAAATACTAAGTGTAATAATATGTTGGCGCGAGCGTGGCGTACAGTCAATCAGCCTAAGTAGTCGGCGCAGGACTTGTTATTGTATGCAGCGAGCTTGGTTCATTACCGATAAGTGTGTGGTTTATGTAGGTATATGGTTTATAATATAGTGCGGTGTGGCTGTGGGGACGAAAAAGAATCTGTTATCGTATGCTCACTGTTTTTAAAATCATCAGCCCTTTATACGAGACTGACCGTTGAGAGCAAGTGAGAAGGTGATTGAACGCCGTTTCACATATACTACTCCCTTTATTACTCGTGTTTTTATCTGTTTGACGTCTAATGAATTATAGATTGAACCGTTGGGTGGTACGATTTTTCCATCCTTATTCCTTGGTGGACTGAATCGTTCCGGAGACTTTTGATTAAGCACGTTGCCCACTGTATATTATTATCGCTGAGTGCGATAAACACGACCCACTAGCTAACGAATCAGTCACGGAAAACACATGAACTATAATATTATGTATTCACTGGCGTGTTTATACTCGTACTACATATGTATGACGTGTATATACATATGCCATGTCGATAAATGACTTTTTTTGTTCCAGGCGGTTTGGGTCACGTCTCTTGCGCCGTACGTTGTATTGTTCATGTTATTGTTTCAAGGAATCTCGTTACCGGGCGCTGGCGAGGGTATACGATACTATCTGACGCCGCAGTGGCACAAGCTCGTTAACACTAAGGTGCACATTGAAATTATACGCAAAACTAGTGTTTTTTTTTTTTTTTTTTTTTTTTTTATTTGTTACACGCACTTCGAACTATTTTATTAGGTATGGATAGACGCGGCGTCTCAAGTTTTTTTCTCTCTGGGTCCAGGATTCGGTACTCTCCTCGCCCTGTCCAGCTACAACAAGTTCAACAACAACTGTTACTGGGATGCCATACTCACCAGTTCAATAAACTTTTTTACCAGTTTCCTTGCCGGGTTCGTTATATTCACCATGCTCGGTTATATGGCACACGTACAAAACAAGAGTATATCCGAAGTAGGAGCTGATGGTAAGTCTCGAGATATTAAGTCATTGATGTATTGCTTACTTAATTTCTTTTGACTTACAGGGCCGGGCTTAGTATTTATCGTGTACCCGGAAGCAATCGCTATGATGACGGGTTCAGTTATGTGGGCCCTTATATTCTTTTTATTACTCATCACATTAGGTAATATCATTTTCAATTACGTTTTTAGTGCTTACTAATAGTGTTACAGTTAATAGTAATCTTTATAGATTTCGCTTTTAATTTTATGATTTATTTCATTTGTTTTTATTCTGTTAATTTTTTATAATATTTTTACAAATAAAAATTATAAAAAATGTTGTGTAGTCTTAAATTTAAGTACTTATACATTCATTGAATGGTATACATAATATATTTATCTATTTTGGTTCAGGTTTGGATAGTACATTCGGTGGTTTGGAGGCAATCATAACTGGTCTCTGTGATGAATATCCGAGTGTATTAAAACGACATAGAGAATTGTTTGTTGCTGGTTTAGTAGCAGTAATTTACATATTATCATTACCAACTACTACATACGTAAGAATCACATTGTTTATGTTATTAGTTTGTTGCTCATTGATTATATTAATTAATCTATGTAATAACTAAAATAGTTATCATAATAGCTTTCATACTTAATTTCGTTTTGTAGATATTTATAACACTATGAATATATTGTATATACTTTTCAAAGTTTAAATTAAATTATACTCGAGAAAGAATATTTTTAAAACCGCTTCATGAACTGTTCGTATTTTTGAACTACCAAAAAATGTATTATTTATTTACTTACGCCATATGGATTTTATAATATAGTAATAATAAATTCAGTTAAACATACGAGTATTTATAGGTATATAATATATAAAGATAAAAAAAAAAAAACTTTTTTAATAGTCTAAATATATTTTCTATCAAATCAAAATTAAATTATTCAAAAGAAACATTATCATGTAGGTATATCAGAAACCCACTAGTCAACTAAAATGAAATTGTTTATTGCCCGTATACAATATTACATTTCATGATTTAAGTAACTCAAAATAAAAACTTTAGGCTATGCTTGAGTATCAAACATAATATTTCTTCATCCACGTTATTTTAAATAAAATTTTATTAACTTTTGAAAATCTTTTCGGTTTATATCTAATAATAATAATAATATGATGATGATGATGATGATATGTAGGTATAAATTATTATATTCGATTTAATTGTACTATACTATTATCATAACTGATTCTTGTATACTATGTTGGTACTTAAACTATAGGTACAAGTATAAAACAATGGAATTATTTATGTTGTTTAAAATTTAATTTAATTTATGTTGTTATTATCTTATACAATACTACGAGTAAAGCATATTATCTATTAAAATTTAAAATTTGATTTATTTCTTACTTTTTTTTAAAAGTTAGGTATCCATGCTGTTTTTAATACCATTGTATAATGTTCGATTAAAAAAAAGCTATACATAATATAATTTATAAATTATTAGTTTTAATTGAATATTAGTTTATCTGGAACGTATTATTGCATGTTCATTATAATTTATATGTATATTTATAATCTTTAGAGTTACTAATTTATTAAAAAAAATATATATTAATGATATTATAAAAATGTGTTATTAAAATCTATATAATACCCAAACAATAATTTGTATTTATATAATCTAGTTATTAAATTCTGAGATATCATTAAAAATTAAATCTGATGAAAAATTATTTCTGTATATTATTATTGCGGAATTTATTAAACAATGAACTTAATGGGGAAAACAATTAATTATAAGAAGTCTTTATTTATTGTCGGTCGATTTCACACGGATCGTTAATTGACCATTTAGAAAAAAGGTTTTAATAAGGAAAATAATTTATAAAAGGATAATTTCGTAGTTAATATATATATATCGGTTATAATAGGTAAGCTATAAAAGTGTGTATTTTATTATGGATACAATGTTAGATAATAGATATACTAAACTGTTGAAATATAAAATTAAAGATTCGATGATAAAATTAACTAAAAATCAATTTATTAGTAAGTTAGAGTAGTAATGTACCTCAAATAGTCATACTAATTTGGTCGTGGTGAATTTCGTCACATGTAAATTAGTCATAACTCATAAATAATATACACTGATCGTACGTATGTACAATGTACACATTGTTCGCAATATCATAATATGTACTCGTTTATTAGTTTTAAATTTAATTCAGTATTATACTAGGCATTTGGTAATATTATTTTTATATTTTATTATATACTATTTAACGGTTTATTAAATTGTTTTGTTTAACTTTTTGTCTTTTCATCTAACACATTACTAAAATATGACTTTTATGTACTTTGAAAATATTTTTTTTATTTGATTTTTAATTTAATTTAATGAATAATGCCATGCTTACTAGAAATAATTATTTTAAATACTAGATTATAAAATGGCACACGTTTAGAGAGGACTGATCTTTTAATACTAAGAATGTCACTATTTTACTGGTCCGTATATAGTGTAGCGTTGTATATCGTAAATGTAAAATGAGTATTATATTGAATACGATAATAAAGGCTCTAGAGGTATAATAGTTGTAACGTATTTATCACCTAGTACATAATATATAATACTCAACTCATAGTAGACATTCTTAATTACATAAATAGCCGATTATTATTCTATAATTACTATATTATATTGTCTATATTATTTTGTTTTTTTTTTTTTTTTTGTATTTAAATGTTTAAAATTTACTGTTATAAAATGTGTGTACCTAGTACCTACTACATCTAAATTTAATGTCATATTTTGCTTATTATTTATTATTCTAAATAAAACAAAAATAAATTTTATCATTACATGAATAATATTGATGTCAATAGTATCAATGAATAATATTTAAGATAAATGTTTGTTTAAAAATATATACACAATTATATATTATTCAAATAATAATAATACAAAAAACATTCATAGTATAGTGTTATTTTACACATACAAATGAAAATGTATATATAGGCACGGACTTAATATCTAGATATTATGTTAACACACTACTCCTTTGTTTGAATCAATTCATGAAAATCTTTTCATTTTTAAGGCGTTTTTGCAATGAGAGGTCTTTACATCAAAACATATTTAAATACTCTAGACACGACGACGACAGAAACGTATTCTATTGTGCATTTTTGAGCTTTTATCAACACAGTAACCTTATTGATTATTCGTCATCCTATTTACCTTAAACGAGTATCTATACACCATATTCTGCGTTATATATAATATACTCTTAGGCTTCGGCGATTTCAAGGATAAATTATTTACATCCGACTAGAAGGACTTTGGATTTTGACGCGTAATGTTAAGTGTTTGCTGTGCAGTCCGCGGCAGTAGCCCTAAGAGAAACCCATAGGAGTCGTCAATTATCATTATTGGTATTTTAAAAAGGTGTTGTTCAAGACTGTACGTATATAATATATACATCACAATCCCATTCGAAAACCTTTAACCTGCTCTAATCGTCCGTTTATTCTATCAACGACGACGTGTCCGTCGATGTGTGATGGAGGAGGGAGCTGCGTTACAGTGCCTGTCGTACACGTTACACGCTATATGAATTTCGGAACGCAAATGCTTTTAACGGAGAAATAGCGAAAGCAATAAAACGAATGTCGTGTATCTGGCGGTCATCGGGCCACCAAAAGATTGGGGGGCTCACTCGTTGAATCCAATTTGATAGGTCAAAAGTTAGTGTTGGTCGGTCATTAATTTTCACCGAACGTGTACTCAACCGATCCACTAATGGCTGGTATTAGATATATACTTTGGCCGAATGCTTAATATAATATATATAATAGGATGTCGAGCAGTCATATAAACACACACACACAGTTTAACACAAAATATACGGTGGGACTCAATTGCAAAAGGGTATTGCAAGACATGTATGATTTTCCATCGATACCGATTCCGTTATAGCCACTGCGAGAGCTGTGTGCACTTGTGCACAACGAATACAATATATGATATCTATGTGTATAAAACGTTGATATTGAACATACTATATATATATAACTTATTATACATGAAACGGTTGTTAGTTAGGTAGTGGGGTGTTGAATGGGGTATCGATGGTGAAAATAATGATAATAAAGTATAATAATATATAGTGATATAGTAATACATATATTTATGATATATTTTTGCCAGAATTATTTAGTCCGGAGAAACAATTACAAAGTTCACGGTTGATCGTGGCTGTAGCCTGGAAGTATGATATTTGAAGTTTTCTTTAAACAGTGTAATTGTCAACTTCAAAAAATAGTCTCTTAACATTTATTGATTGTTTATTTTTAATTATTAACCTTCTTAGAATTGTTTTTTTGTTTTTAAAAATTATATAAAAAAATTAAATTATTATATGTATTTATATTTTATGTTAAACGCTTGAGCTAGAAGTGTCAATAACAATTTACTCTTAAAAAATATTTTATGTAGTAACAAAGTTTAAAATATATCTAATTTATGCGGTTTTATAACGATTACAATCACGTTTGAGTATACGTTATTTTACTATGTATATCTAAAAACTTTATCTAAAGTCAAATACTTAATTATTAGTAATTTTGGGACATTTTAGTATTTTAATCAATTGTTAAATTTAAATGAAGCAAATCAATGTTTTGAAAATAAAGATATACAATACAAAAGTTAATGAATTTATAGTTCAAACGACTAAAATATTTGTTTGAATCGGATACGTTGGAATTAAACAAATTTAATTATGATGATTTTTGTTTCGATAACTTTAGTTATTAAAACCAAATTATTTTTTTATTTATGACCCACTGTGAACCATTTAATTTAATTTAATGATAATTTATCTCAATTTACAACGTTTTAACATCAGCTATGTGCCTCTTATAAAAATATGTTTTAATACAAATTTATTTTTTGATATTAGTTCATTAAGAACTGAGATTGTTTCAATTTTTATGCTCATAAGTTAAAGGAATTAAATTGAAAAAAAAAAAATAAAAAACCGTTTATGTTCTTTGAGAGTGTTTCTTTTAATAAATGTGTAATTGTGAACGTCTAGTACCACAAATATAATTAGGACAGTTTGTAACAACATAAAAAGTATTGAAAGCTCAAATACATTTATTATTTTAATTTATATTATTATTTTGTATTATCAATAGACAAATAATAATTCCTTTTAATATAATCAAATTTAGGGCGGAGTTTATTTAATCACATTGCTGAACGTATTCGGACCGGGAATCGCCATATTGTTCGTTGTGTTTGTGGAGGCAGCAGCGGTCTGTTGGGTGTATGGAGTGGACCGGTTTGCAAACGATATTGAAATGATGATCGGACATAGACCGGGTTTATTCTGGAGATTATGTTGGTGCTACATAAGTCCCGCATTCTTGTTGGTAAGCTCATTTCATTATTGTATAGTAAGTAGTAATACATTTTTCGTTCATCGGTTTTAATTTTCAAACACGTTATTAGGTTTAGTCGTTCGATTAAAAGTTTTTTATTTTCATAATAATGAGGTATTATTAAATCGTATAATAGAAGATCTATTTTGTACAATAAAGTTCCGAGATAATTATTTATGTTTCGTGTTATTAAATTTGGAATTTGTGTATTTTTAAGTAATTTTTGTTCCAGATATAAATTCAACTGATTGCATTTAGATTTTATTAAAACTATAATTTATTTAACAAATTTATTATTACAATTACGCAACGGGTTGTATTTAAGTTCACTTAACACTTAACAGTGGGTTAATGTTCCTTTAAACGTGATTTAATAATCCGTAATAGATTTATTAAATTTAAATTAAATAATTTGTTTGTAAAACACTGAATTTTTTCAATAGTAATTTGTGTGCAAATTATAATGAAATGAGAAGAAAGTAATAAAAAAATAATTTCCAAATAAGTGAAAATGTCAATGATATAAATTAATTTCAGTATTAAAAAGAGTTGTGCGCAACCATTAAAAAATGTGTCTTTCCTGCATCAATGGATAAAATTATGAAATCAATTGATGTATTTTTATTGAAATTCTAACATTTACATATTATTATTAATGCTTTTTTATATAACTTTTTAACGTCCATAACTAATTGTGTGTTTGAATAAACTTATAAATTTTCAACAAATACCCAATATTTTTTTTTTTCAACTTCAATAAAAAAACAATTAGGTTAAGCATTAATTTATTTTCTAAACTTAAATATATTGAGTGCCATAAAAAGTTTAAATTAAATATTATTGGAATATTAATATTAAGATATTTTTATTCCTTATAAATTATGATAAAATTTATTCTTGATACCAGATTAAAATAATAATAATAATAAAAAACGATTTTATAAAATATATTATGTATATTCATATAACAGTATATATTTTTCAGTTAATTTTTGTGTTCTCAATATTGGGATACAAAGAAATGATGGCTGGAGATACGTATGTTTACCCGGATTGGAGTATTAATATGGGATGGTTGATGACTGCTTCTTCGATTAGTTGCATTCCGGCTTACTTCATTTACAAAGTGTACAAGACACCGGGTCCATTCATGCAGGTTTGTTATTTTTTTTTTTTTTATTTGAAGTAAATACTTAATACTATTTTATTTGTAGTTAAATATTTTTGGTTGTTATTATTATTTTACTTTTTGGGATAATTAAATTTAAAAATTATTATGTATAAAAATTAGAATATGCTAATTTAAATATTTAAAAAAATAAAAAAAAAATATTTCTATTTTGTCAAAAATTGATTTAGCTTTACTTTTGACTCCACCAAAATATAAATTAGCTAATGCAATAAACTTGAAGGTCAGGATTTAAACAAAGATTGTAGGATTATATGTTATTATTACTTATTATGTTTATCGTTTGTATTGACAGCTATAAATTTAATTTAATCGTGAATTATTTCACTAAAAATGATTTCTACTTTCTACTGCGCACAGAGTGATATTTTGATGTACACGGTATTCAATTATTGTTACTGATATTTTTCAATTACATTTTCATGTACACGTTTATATTAATTTGGTAATTTATGTTCAAAAAATACTGTTGTATTCTCTTTCAGTTATATCCGTTTGGGGTTTGTAGCATGAGCGTCACAGGGCACTCCTCCCCCTCTAGAGTTTTAAATTTGTTACCTATTTGTAATAATGACGAAACATAATAATGAACTATAAATAAAATTTATAAAAAGAATCTTCATTTATTTTTTAAATTATTTTGCCCTCTCCGGCCCCTAGAAAAATGTCTGACGACGCCCATGGTTTATAGATTTATCTTCTAGGTATGGAAACAGATATATTATTTTGAAAATTAGTCTCAGAGGATTGCATTAGGTATGAATTAAATATTTGATCACTTAACTAAATGAGTCGAGTATGTAAAATTAAATACGATTGCCAGCAATGCTCATTCGGTTTTATCGTTATGGTGTCGACTGGCATTCCGTTAAAATGCTTATTGTTTATAAATAATATTATATTATAAGTAGGGATTTCGTATTTAATTTGTGTGAAGTATTAGATTTATTATTTTCTAAGAAATAAATTCGCCTTTTAGGTTAGGTATTACAGAAAGAATAATTTTGTAATAGATAATAATAATATTAATTGTTAATTATTAAAATAATCAAAGAAATCCGTTATTCTCTTAACCCTTTCAGAGAATCAGATTGATCATGAAACCGGAAGACCCGGAACCGAACGACCGGAGCATCGTGGCAATTGCGTCGGCTGTACACGGAGGTAGTAGCGGCGCGGGCGGCGGTGGAGGCACACATGTCTGATTGGAATGGCTCGTCTAACCCGGCCGACCAAAATAATAACAATATCAGAAAAGAAAATGAACAACAGCAAAAGTCTCGGACTCTATCAGAGAATTTTGCTTCGACAAGTCGGGTTATAGCTATCACATCTTATAATTATTATACAATATTATATTATCATCGTAATATATTATGCATATAAATATATAACAGTCAGCAATGTCCACTCCCGGAATTAAACAGATGGCTCGTCCTACAGGTTACGATATCGACGACTATCACATATTATCACAATAGTCGTGTAATATCGTTACGACGACGTGTTGAATAATAAGACGACAAACGAGGATGTATCGTGAGCGCGCGTGTTCTTGTGTGTACATAAACGGATAGTAGATTGATTTACTATACACGTCGAAAAATATCATAATATATTTAAGCATATAGTGCCCAATAATCTTATTGTAACTTTCTAGAGTGTGAAATAGTAGTGTAGAACAATGATCGCGATTTATGCGATTTTTTTCCCCGCGATAGATACATTTAGCAGTGAGATAATAATAATCATTATCTGTCGACAAGACGATACGCACGTATAAAATGCAGACAATAATACCTATGATGTCTGATAATTTTAGGTATCTATGCGTGAAGTCTATATACGGCGTATTTTTAGTGTGTATTTACTACATTATATTATATATTATACAAAATTGCTATTAATTATTAAAAGTAGATAGTTGTAGGTATGCATAAAAAAATTTAAAAATTAATAATAAAATATTATATAATTATTTTTAGTCTTATGAAACAAAATGTTCTGATTAAATCATCATTACCATCTAACGTGTTATATAAATGAGTATCATATTAATTATGATAAAGTTCATGTATAATGTTATTTTTTAATTTTTGTGATGTATAATTTTTTACGTAATTTATCGAGCGTTAGACAATGAATATTATAGTTGTAATCGTTTAGTCCAGGTTATTATATTAATTATACCTGTAGAAATTTTAATACTATACTATACACAATATATTATGATCATATATAATGATATTATAATTAAAATAATTTTTTTTGTTCTATTTTATATTTTGATCGTCAAACGGCGGTGATAAGTATACTGTTTTTTAACTATTAATCAATTGTATTATAGTCACGCGTGTACAAATTTACTGCTGCACATTGACTATAATAACATGTAATAGTATTTCCTAGAATATCCTAGAATAGGTTTTAAAGCCCTCTCTAAATAAACATTATTTAGTCCAAATGATACGTTACCGTGTAGTGAAAGAGCTTTATAAAATCGTGTTCAAAAAACGAAAATTGTTTTGACAGTGCCGTTTATTAAGAAGATATTGTTAAATTATGTATTTATCAATTTATTTAAGACAAGATATTATTTAAAATTATGTATTAAATACTTATTTCAGGTATTATTATTAATTAGAAAACATTTTCTTTAATAATATTATTATCGTTATTATGACATAAAACGGGTTACCATATGTATTTACTTAAATGTTATAACATTATACGTTTAGAGTCTGACACTTACATATATATTATTGTAATATAAATTATTATTTTGAATAATATTACGTTTAATAATAATCACAATTATATCAATAAACTGTTCAACAAATGTTAAATCACTTCAAGTGTAATTCTTACATGCTATACGTACAGTGTCAATAATGTCATTATCGAATATTTTATGTTATCGCGTCAGTAATACATAATTATAATGTATTTTGTAAATTACGATTATTATAATAGTCGTATCGTTTTGGATTCAATTTTTTTTTTTTTAATGAACCAGATAAAATATTTTCTAATATATTCTTTCAGATAGTTTATGACGTATCGTGTTTATTTTAATTGATTTTCTTATGTACAACTTTAAACTTTTAATGTTATAACATTTTGACTGTTTTATAAATAAATTTATATTAAAATGTAATATTTAAGTAATTATACTATCCTAGTAATAAAAATAATTTATACTTATTTAATTATATTATTAAGGGTCTGACACTTAATATTTATTACTATATTATAACTATTATTATTCTTATCATTAATTAATATTATATTATCAATACCGTCAAGTCCTTGAATATTTTATTGCTTGGTAATAGCTTGTAAATTATTTTAACCGATTGCTAATTATAATACTAATACAATAAACTATGTGTTTTAAAAATATCTTCTTGTGAAAATCCTTCTTAATCCCTTAAACATCTCTTGAATGATAAAAATATAGAAACTATCTCGTAGTTTACTTACTTTAAAAGTTTTCACTCTGCTAAAATACATTGGTATACTAAAAAATACCAACAGTATAATGATATGTATAAATATATATTATATTGTTAAATTAATAAATTTATAAATAAATATTATTTGATACAATTTATTCTTACTTAAATACAAGGCAGCTGGATCTAGCATATTTTTACCCGAGGCAAAGTATAAAATTAGTGTCCTTTAAAAATTTCAGCTCCCTCAATAATAACGCCACTGTTATATTTATGTACCAGTTACTCTAAAAAAAAAAAGATAAAGGAAAATAAAAAATAAAAAAAATAAATACTCGATTAGAAAAAAATAAGTATTAAATATAAATTGTTTGTTGGCTAATACGTTTTCCAACAAAAAATGTTTAACACTATATTATAGATAATTTAAAAATAATAAAAATAATTTTACAAAATTCTAAAAAAACAAATTAAGACAAGGCTTACATATAAATACAAAAAATAAAAAAATAATAAAATAATATAGAATTCTACAAAGTTAGCTAACACATTAGGTATAATTGAGAATAATTTTTAGTAAAATGATTATTAATTATGTATATTTTATTTAAGTAGAGAATATATTATAAAAAATTATCATTAAAATTTTGATGGAAAAATCGTTAATAATATCGTTATAGTCTAAATTTTTGGCTATTTAATTTTCTATTGAAATAATTAAAAGATGGTTGAGCTTGTCTTGATTGGTTGAAGATTTAAGATAGGTTTTATCAAATTTAATTTAATAAAATTTCGTTTGTAAGATACTATAATCACAGATAAAGTTAAAAAATATTTGATATTTTATTGAAATATTAGGATAATCATCTTGTAGATTATTTTTATAAATAAAATTTAGGATTTCAAAATAACTTCCATATCTTAGTGACTCATCTAACTCAAAAATATGTCATTTAAAATTTTCAATTTCGTATATAAATTAAATTAAATTTATATCTTTTTTATACTTATTACACAAATCAATTTAATGTTTTTTTATAACATATAATGGCATTTTAAGCAACATTTTATCATTTAAAAATTAAATGTTGATACAATAATTTTTATTGGTTCAAAACAGTTTCTTAATCCTGATAAAGTATTATCTATAGCAGATTTTATTAAAATGTTGAATTTTTGTTTTTCACTTATAGTTGTTACCTATTCAGTAAGCTCAGCAGTTATCTCATAATAAAATTAAAAAAAAACTATTAATATATCCGCTTATTATTTGGTAATTTAGCATCTCCCAACCAAAACAAGTTTCCCTATTCGCTCCCCTAAATCCAGTCCTGCTTAAATAATACAACTAAGCGCATTTAGGTACAATAATAGTTCTTAAATTTTAAACAAGAAAATAAATAAATTAGTTTTACAATTAAGTATTTAATATAGTTTAAATCAATAACAAATTAATTACTACGAGTATAGTATCTTATTGCTGTTTATTCATGTATAAGATATATAATTTTTATTTTTTTTTTAAATATTTTCGTCATTTAATTTAGTTTTGTAATATAATCAGTAGATACATAGAAATTGTAAATATTATAAATAATACAGACAATTTTCCCAGGTATAAAATTACACAGTATATATTGTTCAATAACATCATTTTATTAGATTGTTGAAATTATAAATTATTTTTGTTCTAGTTTTAAGTAATACGAGGATAACAAGTAATACTATATTACTATACTATATTGATAGCTGAATGATGGTTTTAATTTTTATTATCTCAAGGTGCAGTCCTATCACCAACTCTTTTTAATCTATACTCTGCTGACCAACCTATCAATCCAAATACTCAAATAGCCGAATATGCCGATGACAAAGTAATATTCGCCACCTACACCGATCTCGACTTAGTCTCATTTACTCTTCAAAGCCATCTGAACGACCTAACGCACTGGTACTCTCTCTGGTGCGTCAAAATTAATGAAAATAAATCTATGTACACCACCTTTACTCTCCGCCACAGACAACCACCTCTGGTACATATAAACAACAAACCAATACCATACTCCGACACATCCAAATATCTAGGCCTAACCTTCGAAAAACGTCTAACATGGGCCAGACACATACATATAACAAAACTAAAATTAAATCAACGACTCTACTTTCTCAGACCTATTCTCAGAAAATTCTCAAAACTATCCCTCAAAACAAAAATTCATATCTATAATCTTCATAAGCTCATCTGGCTCTACGGTATCCAACTTCGGGGCACAGCAAAGATATCAAATACTCGGAAAATACAAGTGTTCCAATTAAAAATCCTCTGACTCATAACTAACGCCCCTCCGCTTATTTCAAATCACACTTTTCGTACAGATCTTCACATTCCTAAAGTCACTGATACAGCTAAGCTATATTACAAACAAATTATGAATTGCCTTCAAAATCACAGCAATTGCCATATTAAAAAGCTTCTATCTATTTCCATACCAGGTAATCCTCCCAGAATACTTAAACGAAAATGGACCCGAAATCTCATATTATAAAATAAACATAATAGGAATACCTTAATATCCAAATAATTGTAAATTCAAATTATTTGTACAATAATCAAAAAAGTGAAAGTTATTGAAGATTTGATTTTATAACAGACATTAATTTTTTAACAATATTGATTAAGTACGGATAAACTCTTATGGTAAAATTATCTATTTTATATTGATTTTGTCTACCTATTTAATTAACACGTTTACAATAAAATAGAACAATAAGAGTAGAATATGAAAATTTGTTTTTGTATAAAGGTGGGTTTGTTTAGTTCTCCTTGGTTGGTTTCGTTATAAAATACAATAGCTACTAAATTAGTTACCAGTGGTGAACTCTATCAGTATACAGTGCATTTAACTTGGAGTTGGTAATTTTTTTTTTTAACGAAAAATATACAATAGATGTCAGGTCTATACCTATAAATTGTTAATATTTATTCAATTGTATTGCAAGTCAATAAATATGTCATGAACTCATGAAATACGTCATATTTTGTCACTTGATTAGGTATAATACTGCAAAGAATATAAAATATCATATGAAAAGTATAATAACAATATTCTAAATATTAATTACAGAAAAGAATAATTATAATGATTGAAAAAATATTTATACTGAAAAGAAAACTATGTTTTATTATTTAAACATCATATAAATAGTAAATATAATACCTATATTAACGCCATAGAAAATTTTATCAACTAAATTGTAAACAGATCGATGTTAAATATAGTTATAACTGAAAGATAACACATTTTTTTAGAATGAAATTAAATATATCAATGCCATCATTCTAATAAATATTGAAAGAACACTAAAGGTAGCGATTGAAAAATGATTAATTATACATAAGATCCAATACATGATCACGTGGTATATAAAATTTGTAATAGAATAATCTGACAAATTAAATAAATCTTGTTCTAAT